TCTCCCAAATAATTTTTTATGGTCTGTACATCCTCTATAGGCCATCGACTTGTATAAGCCATATGTTGAATCATCATCAACATTTGATACCATTCTCAGGTAATCTGATAAGTTGGAACAACAGAAAAACACAAAATTAATGCATATTTACCTAATCAAAATGTATTCTTGATCGGTGCAAGGTGTTGGGTTTCTCGATTTGTTAAATATGAAATCAACAATCGAGGAGAAAAGAAGAACCTGGAAAACTAAAATCAACATAAGCAATTTGATCAGTGTTACAATTTTTTCTTTTGGTGTGGTTCATCACTGGAATAATGGTGCCAGGGCAAAGTCTCTGTGGAGACGACATTAAGAGACAATAACTGGAGGCAACCTAGGGTTAGGGGTGTGTGACGTTGGCATTGATGGTGACGGGATATGGTTAGGGTTTATCTTTTCGACAAAAGTTATAAGCCTGGTGACATACGGGGTTACGAACGGCGGTGGCGACAAATGTGGACTTCAAGGGCATCGATCATCCAGTTGAGTGGGAAGACCATTTGGGGTGGTCAGTGACTTGCTTCTAGGTTGTAGTGGCAATGTCAGTAGGGGTGCTAATGGAGGCCTGTCGGAGATTGAAGAGAGAAAGTAGAGAGACGGAAGACGGAAGAAACGACGACTGATGGTGTGTAAATGGTATTAGGGTTTTCTACCCTAATTTACAATGAAAGGAGAATGTAGACGTTTTCATTGTATGCTTATAAAAATTGTACATTATGTTCTAATAGGTGTACCTCTTAATTTTCAAGAAACATCAAATATGTTTTATATAATAGTAAAGAGATATATATATATATATATATATATATATATATATAAGGGTTAAATCGATTATGAGACAAATATGTAAAGACTTTATTGCAGTTTTCCCTTTAATAAACCAATTAATTCTTTAATTTAAATTTTTAGGGTTCTTAACCACACACACATATACACACACACTCTCTATCTCTATCTCTCTCTCTCTCTCTCTCTCTCTATATATATATATATATATATATATATATATATATATATCTACGTTTCTATCAAACGTCTAACTCAGGGGCGAAGTTACCTTCATACAAAGGGTGTCCATGGACACCCCTAAATTTGAAATTTTATTTACAAGATATATCATAAGAGGACACCTGTTGGAAAAATAAAATGGACACCCTTTGGATGTAATATGGATGTAATAACACAAAAGAGATAATAATAAATTGAATGTTTACATTTTGACAATCGATTCTAAATTATTAATGCTTACAAAAAAAAAAAAAAAATCAGAAGCATAAATTTAGGAGTTAAACAAACAAAATATTTTTCAAAAATATAATAACAAAATCTTTCAAATATAATATTTTTGGTAGAAAATTAACGAAGGAAAACTAAAAACCTAAAAAACAAATTACGATTTTTCTAGATCCGCTGCCAAACCCTTCGTCTTCTCAACATTGAATTCCTGTCGGCCGGAAGCAATTATTTAGTCTCGCCGACGAGCACAGTTGAGGCCCTTTACGATCTCTGGCGACCGCAATCTGCCTTGAACCTTTGTTGGACTCTTGTTTCAACGTTCTTGACTTCTGGTTCTGCATCTCTGATCTATCAATTGTTGCATCCGTTTGCATTTCTTACCATCTCCGTCTTCAGTTGAAACTTGAAAGGGCTTCTCTTGCACTTGATTTACTTTTTAGGTAAAATTGTTTCTCTTTTTTTTTTAGAACTCTGGCATATTGAATTTAGCTATTTGGTGTGGTGTAAAAGCATCCAACGAGTGTTATGTATATGAAGTGTATGAAAAGTCAAAGTCTATAAAACTAGAAAAGTCATACTCTACACCTACAATAGTACAATTACTTTTGTGATGATATATGTCAGGCACTAGAGACTAGAGTCTTGGAAGTTGGTATAATAAATAATAAACAATTACTCTATTAGAACCTAGTTTACCTTTCGTGATTCTATTTTGATTTACATACAATTTATTTTGACGATTTATTTCTATTATATTCATATAAATTTCATTTTGTTTCATATATAATTTGTTTTTTATTTTATACATAATCTGTTTTGATGATTTATTTAGGCATAATGCTAAAGTTTTTTAAAAGAAAAGGTGAGGCAAGCTCTTTATCTCATGATCATGATATTCCACGACCAAACGATGAACGAGCACCTTCTTTAAAGTACACGAGAGTTGATTTAATTACACTTCCCGCGGACCTCGGAGAAAGGCCAAGTATGGGAGTGTATCATGTAAATCAACGAGATGAGATTAGAAGAGCCTACTTGCAAAAAGGACCTTATCAACCTCGTGCTCATTCTTTCCAACAAAGAGAGATTGGAGGTAAACTTCGTAGATTTAGTTCCTCTTGGTTTGATGATCATAAATACCGGCTAGAGTATAGTATTAAACTAGAAGCCGCATTTTGTTTATGTTGTTATCTATTTAAATCTGAGATAAAAAACAAAGGTGGATCAGATCATTTTGTAAAAAATGGATTTAATACTTGGAACAAGAGAACAAATCTAGATCTTCACAATGATGGAAGCCCACATAATATGGCAATCCAAAAGTGTCAAAATCTGATGAACCAAAGACAATCCATAGCTACTGCTTTTGACAAGCAAACTGATTTGATGAAGACCAACCAACGCATTAGATTAAATGCTTCTATAGATTGTGCTAGATTCTTAGTGTGACAAGCGTTACCTTTTCGGGGTCATGATGAAAGTGAGGACTGGAATAATAGAGGTAACTTTCTTGGACTTCTTCAATTTTATGCTGATCGAAATGATAAAGTGGGCAGTGTTGTGTTGAAGAATGCTCCAAAGAATTCACAAATGACATGTAGTTCAATTCAAAAGGACATTGTACATGTTGCAGCTAAGGAAACTATTAAGGCTATTGTGAAAGATATTGGAGATGAGCCCTTTGCAATTCTAGTAGACGCAGCACGTGATGTGTCTTGTAAAGAGCAAATGACATTGGTTTTGCGGTTCGTAAATAGTCAAGGAGTTGTTGTAGAGAGGTTTATTGGCATAAAACATGTCAGTGATACTTCGGCTTTGTGTCTAAAGGCGACTATTTATTCTTTTTTGACAGAATGTGGATCAAGTCCACATAGAATTCGAGGACAAGGTTATGATGGAGCTAGTAACATGAGCGGTGCATTTAATGGATTGAAGACACTAATTATGAAAGAAGTAAAATCTGCACATTATATTCATTGTTTTGCTCATCAGTTACAGTTAGCACTTGTGTTTGTTGCAAAGAATCATCCTGACATCAATGACTTTTTTGATTTGATTTCTCGTTTGGTAAACATGCTTGGTTCTTCCTATAAACGTCGAGACAACTTAAGAGAGAAACAAGCAACAAAAGTGGTGGAAGCATTGGCTGCAGTTTTCTTTTATTCTATCTTCTTTTTATTTTATGGTGTTTATGTTTTTTTGGTAATTTATTTTTTATGTTAATTTTAGGTGAAATTCAAAGTGGTACAGGTTTGAATCAAGAAGTCGGTATCAAACGACCTTGTGATACTCGTTGGGGTTCTCATTTTGGTTCACTCTTAAATATCAAGAGAACGTATTCTTCAATTTGTGAAGTACTTGAAGACATTAAGGTTAATGGTTACTGTCAAGATCATAGAGGGGAAGCACGTCGTCTCTTGAGGTCAATAAAAACGTTTGATTTTATTTTTTTCCTACACTTGATGGTTGATATCTTAGGGATCACAAATGATTTAAACATAACGTTGCAAAAAAAAGACCAAAATGTTGTAAATGCGATGCATCAAGTGAGATCCTCTAAGGCCAGACTCATACAAATGAGAAATGAAGGATGGGAACTACTTTCAAATGATGTTACTTTGTTATGCGAAAAATGTGAAATTGATATTTTGAATATGGAAGATCCATATTACAATGGAACAAGTCGTCGCAAAGGTTCACAGGTTAGAAACTATAAAGTTGTTTATTTTTTCAAGTTTCTAAATTAATCATTAACACATTTTTCTAATTAATTCACAGATTAACTACTTACATCACTATAAGATTGATGTATTTATTGCGGCCATAGATATGCAATCTCAAGAGCTTAACAATCGATTTAATGAAGTAAACACATCATTACTTGTTTCTATGGCTTCTTTGTGTCAAAGTAAGTCTTTTCAAGCGTTTAATGTGGATGAACTACTCAAGACGGCTATGTTTTATTCTAACGAGTTCCCAGAACGTAACATTGGAGCACTTAGAGCAAGTCTTCAAAATTATATTGTGGATGTACGTGGAGATGCAAGGTTTAATAACTTGAAGGGAATTGGAAACTTGGCAAAGATGATGATTGAAACAAACAAGCATACAATATACCCAATGGTATATCTTCTACTAAAATTAGCATTGATATTGCCTGTTGCAACATCCACAGTGGAACGTGCATTTTCTGCGATGAAGTTGATAAAGAATAATTTGTGTAATAAGATGAGTGATCAATTTATGAATGATTGTCTAGTGTCATATATTGAGAAAGATGTGTTAGATGGTATTAGCAACGATGTACTAATAGATTTTTTTAAAAAATATGTCAACACGTCGTGAACAATTGTAAGACATTTGTGAGTATTTTTTAAATTTATTTTGATCTTTCTTATTAAAGTTAATAATATATTTGGTTAAGATGATATTATTAACAAATCGACCCGATAACCAAATTTTTTGACCAATTTATTTTATCATTTCGTTTAAGTGGGACACATGTGAGTTTGAATCCTAGATTCGCCACTGGTCTAACTCCAAGAAAAACCGTTACCGGTGTCTAACTCTCAAGCTAGTGTCTCGTCTCATTAGCGGTATCCAGTGTTACCCTCATTTCTTGAGGTTGAGGATTCAAGTGTCGTCGTGGATATAGGTGGATTTAAGGAGTATTTTAGGAGAAAATTTGATTTGCATTTCAAAAAAATAAAAAAATAAAAAAATAAAAAAATAAATAACTTACTGTTGACTATTATAAACTGAAACAAGTATTATGAAGCCAAAATTGGTAAAATACAAATTATCAGGTTTCATATCGAGTACACTAACAAACAATTACCGGATCATATGATACCACTAATTCCTTCTAAGCTCTGTAAAACTTGTTCAATAGATGGTCTTTGTATTGATTCAGCTTGAGTACATTTTAGAACAAGTACAGCACACTCATAGGCACCTTTCAACGGGTAGTCTTGACCAAGGCTCGGGTCCACTATTTTTTTCACCTTTCTTTTGCTATGTAGCTTCGGCCTTATCCATTCCACCAGATTTTGCTCCTTGTTGGGCCGTGTCTTGTCAATAGCCCGTAGGCCCGTAAGAGTTTCCAATAACACCACTCCAAAAGCATATACATCGTTCTTCCCATTCAAATGACCTATACATGTACATGCTACATCGTGTTTAGTTGAAATCTTATTGTTACCAAATATAGGACAAATTTATACTACGTTTGGCTTATTTCAGTGTGCTAATAATTCAATTTTTTTGTCCCATGGATCATTTTTGATGTTTCATCTATGTAAAAGTTGTGAAGAAGAGTAATGAATTTAGAGGAAACTAATCACCTGTTGCAACGTACTCAGGAGCGACATACCCATGTGTCCCCATTACATCTGTCATAATATGTGTATCACCAATCGTTGGACCATGTATTGCCAAACCAAAATCACAGATTTTTGCATTGAAATCCTTAAAAAAAACAACCTTTTTGAAATGATATCATAAGATACAACGATTAATTAAATTAAGTACAATATGATACCTGATCAAGCAATATGTTAGAACTCTTCAAATCACGAAATATGATTTGGTTCTCGGTGCTATGAAGAAAGGCAAGTCCTCGAGCTGTTCCGATCATGATTTTGAGTCGCATTGACCATGAGAGCTCTAGTCCAGATCCTTCTACATTAGTTAAAAACTTTCAATTATATGTACATTTAGCTACCAATATATCATATTGAATAATAATTACATGCTTACTTTTTAATATGTAATTTTCTAGGCTCCCTTTGTTTAGAAATTCATAAATGAGGAATAGGTCCTTATCTTCGCAACAATATCCTACTAAATGGACTAGATTTGGATGATTCAACCTGCCTAAAATCTTCACCTCCGCCTGCATCCATGGTACCATTTCATCATTATATTAACGTTATCGCACCCAAAAATTAATTTAACAACCAAAATCAACAATGCAAGATATAGATACAAATTATGACGTCAGACAAAAACAAGTAGTGACACTTGGTGCAAAAAATTGGGCTTATATATAGATTACCTGCCATTCTTCGAATCCTTGATAACCATCAGTATTGAGTTTTTTAACAGCAACAGCCATCCCAGAAGCAACTTTTGAAGGAGCAAATGTTTCATGATCGACCCAACCATTGAAAACTTTTCCAAAGGCTCCCTCACCCGCAATCATATCATGACTAAAGTTCCTAGTAGCAATTTTAAGTTCAGCTACAGTGAATACTTTCAAACGAGAATTTATTCCTTCACCTTTGAAATTAACTTCATGGAAACTATTTGTTGTCTTGCTTTGCAACTGGTCTTTGTTAGACAATGTACATGGAAGAAGGCATATACTTTGCCCTTTCTTCTTTTCAGGTCGATCGACTGAAAATAAGGTCAAAGGAAAGACATTAGATCAATACAAGAAATTTAGACACTAGAAGCTAGAACTAAAAGTTGGCGACTATATTCATGGACATGTAAACTGTAGATATCCAACCATAACACTTCTTTCTCCCCAAAAGGGTAATATTTGGTGCAAAAAATGTTTCATCTATGGTATATTATTTTATTTTTTACAACAAAAAGAATATTCATTTTCAATAACTTATATTGATTTTCAAAATGTTTAATATTTGGTGGAAAGAATGATTATATATGTTCAACATATTACTCCATTTTTATACCAAAAAAATATTCTAGGTATATTTTTATTTCTAATATATATAGATTTTAAAAAATACCCTTTATAATCAAGAGTTTTTTTTTATGTAAAATTGTCTTACTTCCTTTATATATAACTTTGTCTTACTATAAAGTTAAATAAATTAGACTTATCTAAACTCAAACTTAGAAGACCAAATTGTAATATGAAAGTATAGCGCAAAAATTGTTGAAAATAATGGTATAACAGCAGATTTGAGACGTTATAAAATTTCTTTAAACCATTTTGGTGCAACAAATGGTGTTTGGTAAAGTAAAATGGTGAAAAAAAATAGGATTTGTTGGTTGGAAATGTAATACCGTATGAAAAACAAAGAGACAAAGAGGTTAATTACCAGGTGTGGCAGAGGTTTTCACTGGAAACATACTTCGGAACATTTTTGAGAAAGTTATCTTTCCACTCTTTAGATACAAATTCCCTCGTTCTTCGTTCTCATAACGACTACAACTTTCGAGTATAAAAGAATTCGCTTTCTCTTGCATCACCAACACAGCTTCAAGTTCGACTACCACCTCCGTCATAGTCGGGCGTTCTTTTGGACGAGTCTTTAAGCATTTTTCTGTGATTCCCACAAAAGCTTTTAAGCAATCAGGGATGATTTGGCCCTTCAAACCCTGGTCAATTATATGACTTAAATCTCCTTCTTTGATGAACCCCATGGCCCACCCAACTAGACCGAGTTCATTGTCCACAAGAGTTGGATCAATCGCAGGACGCCCACACAAAACCTCCAATAACACAACCCCAAATGAATAAACATCGGATTTCCTTGTGAGTCTTCGTGTCATGAAGTAGTTCGGATCGAAATACCCGAATGAGCCTTTTACATCTGTGCTCACATGGGTGAAAGGTTGACCTAATGGACCAATTTTCGACACCCCAAGATCCGAAACCTTAGCTTCCATGTATTCATCCAAGAGTATATTTGAGCTTTTCACATCCCTATGTATGATTCGGTGGTGGGAGTTTGTTCCAGTGTGAAGATAATCTAATGCACGTGCAGCCCCTATACATATTTTCAGACGCTCGACCCAAGAAAGTGGAGAGTTTTTAATCTTTTCAGAAACTTTATGCAAGCGTTCTCCGAGGTTTCCACCTGAGACATACTCGTATACTATGATCATTTCATTGAACTCATCACAGTATCCGACAAGAGAGACGAGGTGGTTGTGTCGGAACTTGGAGAGCATCTTGATCTCGTTCCAAAACTCAGTGGCTCCTTGATTAGATCGAGAATCCATCCTCTTGATTGCAACCCTAGTTGCACCATAGTCGATGACACCTTTATACACCTTACCAAATCCACCTTTTCCTATAACCATATCTTCACCGAAATCGTTTGTTGCCAATTTCATCTCTGTAAACGGAAACCGGCGGCATAGATGTTCCTGTGAGAAAGATGGTGGTTTTTTGTCGTTGGTTTCTTGAAGTTGACTCAGCTTAAAGACGATGATATTGAGAATAATCATGACAAGTATCATTCCAGTGACTGCTGATGGACAAAGTCCGAATGTTGATACTTGTTTTGCCTGTTGATCTACCCATCGATGATTGTTTCCGAAGCAAGAGCAATCGTGTTTTCCAATGGTGTCAACTGGATGGAAACCAGAGTTTGTGAAACTATCGGTCGATATGAATAGTAAACTGTGCATTAACATTGAGAAATAGCCTTTACACAAAGTCATCCTCATGGATTTTAAAGTTGACTGAAGATGAACAATTTCTGTAAGTAAACTTATAACTTATTAGTCAGCTTAACTGTTCTACGAGGAGAGTTTTACACAGGGTAACTGAAATTAATAACTTTCGAAGAGATTGCTCTTGCTGAATCTTTGTGAACGTGTTGCAGTTGAGTTACACGCGTTCGGGGGTTAGTGGTTATAATTTTCTTCCAATAGTTAGCAGCCAAATGTGTCATCATTCAACGTGAATGAGTCAGAGGGGGAAGGTGTCTAGACGTGAGTGACGTTGATTGACTTTCACATTTGTAGTTTACCTATGGATAAAAAGTTGTTTTGAATTGTTCTTGTTGACTTGTAAGGTTAGTTAGAGGAAGTAAACATCCCACATCAAACATTTTATTTGCCATCTAAGTTTTTTTTTTTAAAAAACACAAAAATTTGAATTATAAAAAAAGAAAAAACAAAAAAAATAAATGGAGAAGAACCAATGAGAATCATTTGTTTTTAGAAAAATAAAAATAAAAAACAAATACAAAAGGAATGAACCAATAACAGCTTTCATTTTTCTATTGATCCTTCTCTCTCTTCATCTTAAGCAAATAACGAGTTTTTCTTGACACCTCATTTAACACATTCTAGACGGTGGTGTTTGCATTCTGCTAGCGAGGCCAGCGAGGGTCTTGGCGACCCCCACTCCCATTAACTTTAGTGAGGTGGGAGTCCCAACTGCCACATCATCATTTCTCTATTATTATTATTATTATTATTATTATTATTATTATTATTATTTAAATCTTTATCAACTCACAATATATCAAAATCTTATTTTTTACAATCCACTCAATTCACTTAATTTTTTATTTTAAAATAAACACAAAGTAATAAAAATTATACAAAACTAATTTACATAATATTAAAAATAAATAAAGTAATTTAAAAACTAATTAAATAATATAAAATTTTAATTTGGTATAAGTTTTGATGCATAATGTACAAGTGATTATTGCATAAGTTGAAAATGATATACGGGTTAATGAAGCCGTATATATAACCCACTCAACCCAAAATATTGAAACTGTTCAAGAAGGTGTCCTAACTTGGAGGTACCGCCAGTACATCTCTTAAAATGTTCATGATACTCTCTTCCTTCCGTTACAATAGTGTGGTATTTTTTTTACTTATTATTATTATTAGGGCTTTTGATTTAAAAGTCCTTAAGTGTGTCAGATGTTGATGATTTTGTCCACATGATGATTTTTCGTTCATTAATATCCAAAATTTTCCAAGGTTTTTTTTTCCCTTGCTACCTATCATAGTAGGTGTCTAGGGATAAAACCGACAAAATTTAACAAACTTAAGGATTTTAATGTCAAATTTAGAAAATATACTTAGGATAAAAACATATAAGATTTATAAATTTGAGGGTTTTTTTTTTTTTTTTGCAAATTTGAAAAATACACTAAGGGTATATACATCAAAGATTTGTAAAAGTGACAAAAGTGAAAAAAAAACTCAGCAAATTTTGGACATTAACAAACAAAAAATTGTTACAGGGACAAAACCAACAAAACCTGACAAACTTAAGGACTTTTATGTTAAAAGTCCTTATTATTATTTTATTTTCATTCTAAAATATAGACCTCACAATTTAATACACGACACGAACACGATACTAGTTTTTCGTGTATGTGATTTAGAAATTCATGTTTTGTGTTTATTCGTGTTTGACACGTATTTTAAATTTGTGTTTCGTGTCTTATACATGTCAAATACGAATTTACCTGTTTAGACACGAATAAGACATAATAAAAATCCGTGTTGACACGTGACACGTACAAATATGTATAAACACGTATGTATACATATATACTTTAGGGTTAAATTTTATATTTATAATATATTAGAGACCAAGTTTGTAAAACATAATAATTTATTTATAGCCCTAGCATAAAAAAAGTCATTAAAAACGTGTATATTCGTGTTTTTTCATGTTTTCGTATAACACGGTTAAAAACATGTTTATTCGTATCATGTCACGTATCACACGAATTTTTTATGTATCGAGTTCGTGTTTGATACCCTAAACACGTTTTTATAATTCGTGGTGTGTTCGTGTTTAACAAATTCGTATCATATAAATTCGTGTCTGACACGAATACATGACACACGGATACGAATTGTCAGGTCTCCTAAAATAGTTTGAAGGAAGTGGCTCGGTGCTACTCCCATGCAAGATGACAGACTCTACAGTGCCAAAATAGCACTTCCCCTTGGCCTCAACATGGTAATCAGCTGAGCTTCATTCCAGACGAGAGTATGGAGAGAAAAAGTCCAAATTTAAGATCTCTTCGTAATTTCCTTTTCCATTAATTAAAAAAAACGATAAATACGGCATCACAATCCCTCTTGAATAACAAGATTTTTGAAAAGGTATAGCAAATTGACGTGATGTTGACGTCGAGTATAAAATAGAAAACCATATTATTTGGTTTAATAACTTTTCTATAAAAAAAATTTTCCAAGCAAATTCAAAGATCTTAAAGTTATTAAATTGTAATTTTTTTAGATAACTTATTAAGAATTTTCTATAGAAATTATAGATCAATTAAAAAAAATTACGTAGGTCCTTAGACTCAATTTACTTATACATAGTCTGATTAGTCTCGCCATTGTGTGGCCCCTACGAGACTCGAAAACTAGTGTGCCAAAATTGATGTCCCTACCTTCAACTTTATAAGACATTAAATGATTATTTTGTATATTTTATTTTATTTTTTCTATTCAACTTACAATTAAGTAACGATAAAGAAAAAAAAAAAAAAATACAACCCATCACCTTTATTTATTATATTTCATGAACACAGTCTATTACATTTCATGAGCACAACCTCGTATTTCGTCTTCGTTTTTTCAACAAGCGGTGTAGATGTGGAATTAATTTTTCTCTACGTATCATTTTATGAGTTTTATTTTTTATTAAATTTCGTAATATTTTATGTGGTAATTGTAATAAATGTAGTAATAAATGGATATTAATTTCACTAATAAACTTACATTTAATTTTCAAATTCTTAAAATTAAAACACATTAGTTCCTTTTCTTTATTTAAATTATTTGTTTAGATTTAAAAGATAAAAGTATTTTAATTATAATAAATCATTATTTTTCTTATTTTCTTATAAATTCAAAGTTCTTAAATATTTGAACATTTATATTTATTTATATTTTTAAATTAAACCATGTAATACATGAGTCTTACAACAAGTGTGCGTGTGTGTGTGTGTGTGTGTGTATATATATATATATATATATATATATATATATATATATATATATATAAATTTTGCCTTATTACTTTTATATCTTGAATTTGTACTAACATCCCAAACATCCCGACGATGTCCAAAATCCTGGATTTAATTAGTATATTGGACCGCTATCGTATCTATTGCAATATCTCATATAGGAACTTAAAGCTTGACAAAAAAGGAATAGACGAAGTTAACTACACATGGTCAATGCCTTATGGACGTTGAAGACTTTCGAGAAAGCCGGGTCAAAAAGAATCAAGGAAAATCCTAAGAATGTCGAAATTATAGATATTCTTGTTGTGTATATAAAGACTAGCTAATCGATGCACACATGAACACTTCCACTACTATTTTTTCTTTGATTCTTTCAACACTTAAATAAATTCATTTCATTACTAAGATCAGCTAGTACCTGTAAATTTATTTCGAATTAATATAAGTTCTAAGGCAGGCGATTTCATCATCCCCTGATATTTTATGTTGGAGATCCAAAACGGTTAAGGGCTTTCCTCGTAATTCTCTATTTTCTTGAACTTATTTTGATTTACTTACTGTTGTTTAATCGACATACACTTATTTTATTTGTTTTCTTAATTGTTAACTTGTTTTCAAATTGAAATTATTAAGATATTTTATGGTATCTTAATACCTTTCTTAGTATCTTAAAGATTTTGTAACATCCCAAAAATATAGTCCATAAATTTCATTTTTTAATAATTAATTGAACAAGAATTACTAAAAATCATATATCTAAAGCACAAACCATAATATCTCAAATGTCAAAACAGTGTATCCATATCAATCATATGTCAAATAAATCAGAGTAAAACTGAAAACTGTAAACTGTAAGCACAAAGCTTAGTGAAACTAAAGCTGAAAACGGTAAGCACAAAGCTTAGTGAGTCTCTCCAAACTACCACATACCATACACATAATTATATAATAACATACATTAGGCCTTGCCCACTACATCGGGCGCCTCCCCGCATCAGACGAATCCGACAATGGGCCTCACCCGACATCGGATCCCGCCCGGCATCGGACCAAATCTGGTATACATATAACATATGAACAAACACATAACATAAATATATAAGCTAAATCCTTCCTCGGGCTTGCCTTAACATCGGATAAAAAATTCGGAACATATAACACATAGCATATAACTAAACATTCCTCGGTCTTGCCCCGACATCGAACCAAAATCCGAAACATATAAACAAACACATGCAAGAATCACGAAGACATCAAGCATACAGAAGTTCCTCAGGCTTGCCTCGTGTCACACCCCAAAACCGAGAACGGTGGAATCGTTCTGGGGCGGAGGACATCATGTAATGTATCACAACAATGTAAAGTAGTAAACAAGCAACAACATCATCCATTGCATTAATAGTATAATTTTAATTACAAGTGTGTTCTTTCATAGTATAATACAACATAATGAATAATCAAAATAAAAGATGAGTCTTGACTGATCTGTCTTCACAAACCTGGTCGTCGTACCTGTCTATTTGTGACCTGAGAATACAAGTTATTTTGAAAGCGAGTATTAGCCAAAAAGCTGGTGAATTCATAAGTATTAATGTGTCTTTGATTTAAAGACTTGTAAATGTTTGAAGAAAATTTTGTATTGTCACACCCCCAAACCAAGGATGGCGGAAACGTCCGGGGGTGGAGGACTTCATGTATAGTATCATAACCACAATTTCAATAGTAATTTAAGCAAACACAACCAACATATATATAATTGAAAAAGTTACATCACTTGTATGAACTACATGTTTCAAAATCAATTACAATATGTTGACAAAATATGAAAAGTTTGACGCCTTAACGTCCCATCCTCAAAAGCACTTGATAACCTGATTAGTGTTTTCCTGTGAATACAAGTTGTTTGAAAAGTGTCAACACAGTGGTTGGTGAGTTCATAAGCTTTTATTAATAAACTTAGTAGAAGTCTTTC